TTGTGTTGTCTTAGGCAGTTGAGTAGGGGTGTGTTTCAAGTACTGTATCATCTTCAGAGGAGTGGTTCAGATGAACAGTTAAGAAGTTAATTCCTAGATGCTTTTTATATATTGGGAATGTAGCATGTGCTTGGATTTTTTTTTTTTTTTATTATTATGTTTTGGACCTGTCTCTGTCCTCCCCGCCCCCCCATCGTTTTGAACTCTGCCCTTGTCGTTGGGGTGGAGGGGAAGCTTCTCAACTCCTTCCCTCCTGGAGTGCTCTAAACAGTGAGGGAGTGAGTGGGGCTAATGGTTAATTACTTTGAATGCTGTGTGAGTCATGGGAGGAGGGGTTTCCAGTTACTCTTGTTATCCTCTTTCCATTTGTGCATGGCTCACCTAAGTGTGACACCCTGAAGCCTCTGCGCTGTAAGGAGAGCTCTGAACGATAGCAGTGAAGATGACAGTGCTGCTGAATAGGGGTAAACACAAAACTTAATTTCTGAAGACAGAGGAGAGAGGACAGAGCATCTCGCAGAGCCACTTACAATTGATATACTGGCCGGTCTTTTCATGTTAGCAGCAGAGACATTAAGCCAGATAAGAAATTGGTGGTTTAGAGTGTGCTGTTGATACAATTTCCCACTTTCAAAACACAGGTGAAAATCTCAGTTCTTGGTTTTCCCTGTCTGACTTACTTACTTAGAGTAGCAAGGCTGATGCCATTACTGTGGTTGAACTTTTCTTTTACTTTGCCATAGCAGCATACTGCTAGATGAAACAATTGTGAGGTGTTTTTTTTTTTATGACTGTTGCTGAAACACTTCAGTTAAGGTTGAAGGGTTTTGTGCTACCCTAACACAAATACTGAAATAGGTTTAAAAATTAAGTTCTATAAGCTATTAGCTCAGATGAAGCTACACCATACAAGGTAACTTTCTCTTTTATAAGAGCTGCAGCGAGTGGCTGGTTTTGGACCACTTTCAGTATTAAAATTTCTCCTAGCTCGACCTCTGCAACTGAATGATTTTCAGTAGAGCCTAATGCTTGAAGGCTGAGCTCCTTGTCTAGATGTAACTTGCTCTTTTCCTTTCAGGGTCAGATATTTGAAACGTACAATATGGCCGCCTTATGGAAGTTGCCATGTGTTTTTATCTGTGAGAACAATAGGTATGGAATGGGAACTTCGGTTGAAAGAGCT